AGAGTACGTACCCAGCTACTACGACCCAAATAAAACTGTAATGACACGGCGCACGACCATTCAATCACCCCTGAAAGGTCTTACGGGTCGAACGATCGAGAAAATTTGTCAAATCACTTCGATCAGAAACTCCAAGAAAGCGATACAGGTAAAAAAATTAATTGTTATACACGAGTCGAAGTAAAAATTTAGACGATGATCGTCTATTCATATCGATGTTATTTCAGGGATTCCTGTACGTTCTTGCCCAGGACAATGAAAGAGCCAAACGACGACAGAATATCACATTCGGTTAACTTCATAATATGGCTTTACGTTGTTTACGCTTTTTTACATCTGTTGGTCTTTTTGTTTGATTATTTTTTATGGAAAGTTAAATTTCAAGTTTATTCTATTCTAACGTGTTAATATATACGCATACGTACATATATATATATATATATATGTGAGTTTTATAAGTTCTATCTATATGTACTTTTTGTAAAGTGATTAATATTTTTATACAAAGAGAAGAAATTTGTAAAATATATTAACGATAAAAAAATTTCAAAAAAACGAGTTTGTTACGCGTGCACTTTTTTCGAATATCTCGTTCAATCGAGCGAATAGAATCGAATATATCCAACAGGGGACGGGGGAATATAAGAGGAATATAAGAGGAATGCAAAGTTCTATCCAGACGAATGTATCTCGATCGATTGACGCCCGGAAGAGATCTACGCGGTTCATCTCTCGACCTAGACAAGAAATATATTTGCATTTCTACCTTCGATCGAATCATCCTTCTTTCAACAATGAGAATGGATGCGAATCACGATAATGGAATCAAAATAATGCGCGTGAAACGTAAATACAATGAAGGAAGGGGAAGGGGAGAGGGAGGGGCGCGGATCGCAAAATATCTCGTGAAAAAGTCGCGTCAAACTCGCGGCAAGCGTGGAAATTAATGAAGTAAATCGATATCGAAAAATACGATCCGGACGAAAGTTTAAATAACAATTTTCCATTACTCTTTAATACAAAATCTCATTCCCGGTAATGCGCGGTCACCATCGTGTTACATATTTCAGCGTCGAACGCAACCCCAAAAAACCATTATTTCGCTCATCCGTCCACCCCTCGTCATTCGTTCTCTACAACCTATGTACGGCGGTGGGGTTATATAGACCACCGCTGTCCTATATTACGCGCCACCCACACACCTATCCTGCGAGCATTCATGCGTAGCAGTAACGTATGGCACGACGAAACCGCCCCATCACCACTGCAACCTTTCTCGCACTACAATAAAATTTCATGGCTAACCTGCCTCTTATTAGATCCCCCAAAAAGATGCCCTTCGTCTTACTCGCCTTCGTAAATCCCTGGCAACTCCCTTCGTCTTTTTCACTTCCTCGGAATTTGCGTCGCTTGATATTGATTGAAATCGAATCAAGTCTACGAACTAAAGTCTCTGAATTTTTGCGAAATTTTTCCTTTTACTTTCTTTTTTTTTTTTTTTCTTACGATCTTTTTACTACGTAGATAAATAAAAAAATTCGTAGAATAAAAGAGAAGAAATAACAGGAACAAACCATCCTCTAATTACTCCTATTTATTCCTCCAAAAGGATCTATAAATTATCCGGATATTCCACGATATTTAACGATACTCACTACTTTTTCCTCCTCGCCTCCTGTCCAAAGAGACACTCTGGCGAATTTGCACGGAAACGGACAATCCGTGGAACAATCGTACAGGACAAAGAACGGCTGTAATTGGGTGCAAGTCGAGAAGCGATTTTCACTTCGAGATTCATTATTCGGTGAAGAGTTTAAAAAGGAATTATCGTTGGGAGGGGGCATTTATGATGAAAGGGGCTGAATGCGCGCTTTGATAGGCGAAATTCGAAATTCGGGGCAAGATAAATACGCGGGTTCTCCTGCCAAGAGGATTTTGTTCGATAGGAAAGCAGCGGTGAGAAATAATAGAGGGTCAGCTGCGCGGGGCGGATGTCATTACCAGTCGCCGCATAAAAAGCTGTCTCTCGTACAACAGACTATTTGCAATTAGCACAGTACAATCCCTGTGTCGGCAAAGCAACGTAACATCCAATATTTCTCCTCCCCGCGCGTATCCCTGCGTATTCGGAAATTCTTTTTTTTTTTTTTTCCGCCCGTTGACATCACAAACACACCGCGTAAAACACAAATACTATCCCTCGAATTGATCTATCGTGTGTATAAATAATAAAGTGAAAAATTCGTTGAAAAATAATTTACCTATGATTTTTTTTTTTTATTCGTACTGAAAAACGAAATATTTAATTCCTAATTCTTTGGGAAATATAATCAACGATTTGTCACTGTTTAAACATGATAAGATAAATAATGTAATAAAAATGTCGAAGGGAAAAAAAAAAAGAAGAAGAAAGAAAATAAATGACTGAACATCTCTCTTAGCATTGATGATGAATGCTAAAAAGCACTCCAGGACGAAAGTTTCATGCGTTTCCTTTTTTTTTTTTTTTTTTCACCCCTTTCAATCCATGTTGCTACGCTAGGCAAAAAACGTGACCACAGGAACATGAAAGTCTTAATGAGCTCTCTCGCTAACGAGAAACGAGTTTGTTCAGGTGAACATCCGTTTCTCGGCATATACATGCTAGGCTCGTTGAAAGCTGCTTTCCTAGGATTGGCGTAATTCACCGTTAACGTGATCATGGCTCACAATATATTCTACTAATCGCGTCAGCTCGAATCAACCTGCAATCCGCTTTCCCATTGAAACATCGAAATATATTGCACAAAAGTTACCGAGACTCCATCCGCTAATCAGCTTTTTCATTGCGTGCTAATAAACTAACGAACTAAACGGAATATTCATACTCCAACGATGAATTTCGATAAATTTCTGTGATTCTTTCATTATATATTAACGAAAATATATGCGCTTTATTTTTAAATATCATAATTCTAATAGTAAAAATTTGAAAAGAATCTAATCTAATTACAATACAGGAAAGAGAAATAATTAAAATTTAAAAGCTATTCATTTAAACGATCCGTTTATTTTACTTTATTTTCTATCAAAGATTTTAAAAAATTATTAATAGAAGAAAATACACATAATGCAATAATGCTAATGAATTGAATCAAAGAATCGGTCGATTAATTTTATATATTTAATCGCGACGAGGAAGCATTCTCTGGAAATGATACGAGAAAAATAACATCGGTTAACTACGCATCCCGTTTCCTTAGGGACATAAAAAAAAAGACCTAAATTTTTTTTCTCCAATCGATCGGACACAAAGAAATCCCATTGATCCTCTCAACCATAATAATTTCGAGCGATATTCTCAATATTCGAAAAGATAAAAAAAACGTAGAAAATGATTGAACTGGAGAAATAAAATAAAAAAAAGGGAATAATACGTATTATTCCGGAAGATGGATCAAAGGTTAAGCGTTAATCCGTTTCTGGACCTTTCAAATTTCCGTCAAACGAGTCTGATTTCATCTTGATGTAACACCGAACTGGAAGACAATGAAGGACGCTAATGTAGGAAACGGAGGAACAAGGAAGACAGAGAATAACGAAGCCTTAGCTATCTTCAGTCTGCTGGTCTTCTACCGCGACTACATTAGGCGGCTTATCCGCTCATTATGCGACCCGACGATCGCGCTTATACTACGAAACCCTCGACCTTTCCGTTAAGCTCTCCGGTTTTGGATCAACACGCTCACGTTCTTCCTTCCTGAACCAACCGCGATTAACCCAACACGATTCCAAATCGTATGGCCTGTTACAAAATTTTAATTCAACGTCGATTACCAAGCTTAAATCGAAATTGAGCCTTTTAATAACGGTGATTCCACCGCGCGTTAAATCGAAGTTTTTACGATCATCGATTTTACTCGTAAAAAGGAAAATCTATTGTATATAGATATAGAGTTAAAGAGCGGTTAAGATCGTATCGATTTGTAGCGTCGATTCGATTTCTATCAAAAGATTCGGACGAGAATGTCGTTAGAATGAATTCTAATTAAAGACAGGACGGATCGGGAGAATTTATCGCCGTCGACGATTCTGAATGCATAGATCGATCGTGGAACGAAAGTAAAAGAAAAACCCCGCTACTCGGTGAAAAGACTGCACTTAACGTGGCGGATATATATCGTTTCACAAGATAGAGTGGAAGTGATATGTGGCTACGATTACCGGACCGACTAAACGTACTATTTATTGTTCAGTTACCAGATTCTTTGGAAAATTTCAATCGCAAAGAACATATATTTAAGAGGAATTATATAGTATAGCTTTTATTTTTACTAAATTTTTAAACAACGGATATTTATGTATGACTATACTATTAATTGTTGAATAATTTTATTACATAAAAAAAAGAGATTATCCTATCAAGATGCACCAAGATGCATAATTTTTAATTCCTTTGTATTTAATATTTTTATAATTTCAAATTAAAATTTGTGAAAATTTTCTGCTTAATATTTATATTAAAATTCTTTTTGAAATATAAATATTTTTAAACATTTAAAAATTAACAGATGACATGATTTTAAATAAATAAATTATTAAAAATCTGATGAAAAATACATATATTTGTCAAAATAAAAAAAATTAAAAAGAAAAAAATATTATAAAAATTTTTATATATGTATTTGTCAATAAAAAATATTTTAATTAATAATAATTGTTGAAAGTTAACATATTTTGTAATATAAAATACGATTTTATTATTAGCGACAAATATGCCATCTTATGGTTATTGATCGAATTACGAACGAACGAAAAATTCAAATTGAACTTTTCCCGCGCAATAGATGTAAAAACGAAATGCGCAATATGCGCAGAATGACAAAATTAATATGAATATTAGTTAATATTAGTTAATAATAATTATTAGAAACTTTCTACTTATTGTATAAAACTATAAAAACGTTATATTTCTGCTATTATTTCTTAATTCTGATTTATATAAGGAAAGAAAAACTCACCGATCCCCGATGACGCCGTTCCAATAGCAATTGCTGTTTTAACATCATAACTTGATAATTCTCCGTTGTTTTTCACAAATTGCCAATCTTCTCGTAATTTTTTTAGCTTTTCCTATTAAAAATACACAAAACTGAACACAAAATTGATCACAAAACTCAAAATAAAAGTCACGAACAATCATCCACTCGTCACACACGCCAGTTCGAATAAAACTGACTTACATTAATCAGAGCGCCACCTTTTAAAATTAATTTTTCCTATATAACTAAAGACGTAAATATAGTAACATTTTCTTTTTATAATTGGTATTTTATAATAACTAGAATATTCAAATATTTAAATCAAATATTTAATGAATTTATTATATTTTATTTTCTCTAAAAAAAATTCTATTTTTTATTTAAAATTAAAATTAAAATTAATTAATAATAAAAATTAATTAAAATGTATTAAATTCATTATATTAAATTCTATTTAAATTGTATTATATTTCATTTTTTCTAAAGAAAATTCTATTTTTTATTATTTAAATTATATTAAATTTTATTTAAATTATATTAAAATTATATTTAAATTAAAAATTTTGTGTTATTTTTTACTTACTTGTAATTCTACGGAAATAGGTTGTTTTGCAGATTCGCATTCTTTCTCTAAATTAGTATAATTTTCTAATACATCCTTTACTTCCATTTCTCGATCTTCAACTTTGGTCTACAATATAAATTATTATATATTTTTTTCTTATAATAAATACATACATATTTTTATATTTACCATAATATTGTTAATAATTTCGACTCGTTCTTGTTGAGGTAATTCTCGGGATATATTTATTCTCGCTCTAGTTTCCATGACCCAAGCCATAACAGTATCCAATGTACAAATATATTTTTTAAGAGATACAAGTTTATTCTCAACATAGTCACGGTGATTAGAAAGGCTTATATTAGCCTAAAAAATTAATTAGAATAATTTAAATTATAATTATTTATAAACAATAATATATGATTTATTATAAATAAATTTAATGTGATACCTTATCCATATCTGAAATTAATTTATTACATTCATCTTCTCCCAAAGGAATATCATTTTGATTTATTATTAAATTCTGTAATGATCTTTTGCGAGAAGAAAGTTCTTCTTGTCTAGCCTAAAAATAAAAATTATTTTATATTATATTACATAGAGTTCTAAAAAATTTATTAATTTATGTAAAAAATATAAATTTATGTTATATAAATTAACATTTATATCTAATACTAAAAGAAATAGAAAATAAGAGTTGCTATTTATGTCTTGGCACACTTTAGTTTATGCAGTCATGACATGAAATGTATTATTAGATTCAGTTTCAGTTTATTTGATAAACTTGATTGTAACAGTCAAGTTAAACATTATTGAATTATATATTTTACTAAAAATGTTATCAACTAATAATTCAACTTATATTTAAAACTATATAATGTAAGTGATGTGAAACATATTCAGTAAAGTTCTAAATCAATTATAAATCAGTAAACATATCAAAATTATATTAAATAAATAATATGATTTTAATAAATTTTAATTATACTATGATCTTTTAAAATTTTAAATTATTTTATAAATAATAAATTTACCTTAATTAATGACAATCTTATTGACAAAGAAGTCTCATCTGAAGGATTTGCTACTGATACCAATAAAGAATTGATTTGCTCTAATATATTATGAGCACTTTCTAAAATTCTGCCTTCATTGTTCACTTTCTTTTCCATAGCAAAATTCCTTTAAAAATCGCATAATTATTAAATTAATGCGTCAATTTAAAAAGCATTTATACAATAATTATTAATAATTAAATTATTAAAAAAAATTCAAATATTAAAATATATAAAAAAAATCAATATATATAAAAGATTTAATTGTTATATATAATTTAAATATAATTTAATCCGTACTTCTTTATTATACGAGGTTATTCTGAGTTGATTACTACAGCACTAAAGACAAATCACAACTGAAATAACTCAGTAGCAGAAAAAGCTTAGCTTTCTATGCTACATATCAGTTAAACAATAAATTATTATTTCATTTATTAATATATAAAATTCATGAAAAATATAAATATATTTATTAAAATAATTATAATTAATATTTTTTCATACTTTTCTTTTCGCGTATTTAAATCCGTTATAATATTTTGCCAACGTCGTTTTATGGTTTCAACCATTTCTCTTAATTCCATCATATCTTCAGCTTTAGCACGAGTTAAAATACTAGCACTTGAAACGTTAATATTATTCATAATTCTTTGCATCCTAGAAATCTCTTGTTCCAATTCAAATATTTTTGTTCTTGACATTTTAGATTGGCCAAGAGAATTTAATTTTTTTAACGAGTCTTCCGTTTTATCTAACCAATCGGAAAAAGACCGGCATGTGTTGCAAAGTTCTTTCCATTTTTCATAACATTTATTCCAACGATTATATCTTTCAACATAACTTTGATTAACATTTATCCATTCATCTCGTAATTTATCACTTAAACGTCTAATTTGTTCGCCTTGCTCTCTTCTTAATTGCGAAGCAACATTTTCAAAAATTGTGTTGATTTCCTCAATGCTTGGTTTTAAAATATTTAATGCGTTATTAATTTTTTTTAAACATTCTTCTTGATTTGAAAAAATTTCATAATCATCACCATTCAATGGTACGGAATTTAAAGATCTCGTCACAGTTACAACAGCTTCTCTAATCTTATTAACTCTGGCAGTAAATTCTTGCATATCAACTCCTCCAACATCCTAAAAAATGTAAAATTAAAAAAAAATTATTCGATAAACCAAAAAGAAATAGAAAATATTAACATACCACTTCAACTTTTTTGTCTGTCACATGTTTGTCCTTATCCTTACTACCGCTAAATCTTTTAAATTGTGAACTAACTTCTTGCCATCTACTGTTAATGCTATATCTTACAGTTTCAGTATATCCAATATTTAATTTTTTCAATTCAACAGCTAATTCATTTAATCTTTTAATCTGTTCTTGTTTAGCATCAAATTCTACAGTAAAAGATTCTAATTGCCCCTCGTAATTATTTACTTGTTCAAGTTTTAATGGTACATCTCGAAACCAATCTTCAAATTCTGTTATTATGGCATTATATTGTCTTAACATTTCCTCTCCTCTTTGTGCTTGTGTGCGTCTTGTTTCTATTTCGGACATAACTTGATGCCATTTGCTTCTTAATTTATCTTGATGTTCATTTTTTATCTTTTCAGCTCTAACAGGATCAGATATATGTACTGTCATAACTAGGCCATCACCTTTGCTAATCAAAGCTGCTGCATCTGGAGCAAGAGTACTAACTTCTCCTTTTAATACCTGAAATATATAAACATATATTAAACAAACGTATAATTTATAATATTAAAAAACATTTAAAACATTTTGAAATATATTTCATTTATATATATACATTTTGACAATTTTTATTTATATAAACTTATAATTTATATAAACATTAAAATTATTTGTAAAATTACTAATGTTTATCAATCATTTCTAAATTTTTAACATTTTAATTTTTAATATTCAAATATACTTTAGATTTACTAATGTTACAATTACAAAAATTTTTAAAAAATATAATACAAACTTCTAGTCGTTTAGTTGGATCTTTTTCATTACTGATTCCACTGATACTCATCAACATGACATCCATTCTATGTAACATCCGTTGTGCAGCTTGTTCAAATTCCAAAATACTTTTTTCTAAGCCTGTTCTGGATAAACTAGTTGAAATTTTAAAAGGTCTCTTATCACTAGAAATCTTCGTCTCTATTTTATGTTGTGTTTCTTGTGATAATTTTTCAGCCTGTATCTATATGCAACAAAATTATAAGAAAATCCATAATGAATTAAATTTCTTTATACATTTATATGTTAGCCTTCACCTATATTATATATATCTACCAAATGTTAAAATTCTAATTGTTAATATTACGAATTATATTATTAATATATGCATACATTGTACATAACATAGAGATAGATCTTACAATGGCAAGTTAAATGCTATTAGAATTACCTTGCCCAAGAGGTGCTCAATATGCTCCTTTGAATTTGTATCTTCTCCCTCTGAACTGGAACTTCCAACATCAATTTCTGTATCATCAGAAAAATTAAAACATCATCTGTTTCTTTATCGCTTCCATAAAAGCTTTCACAATCCTCTAGTGTATCATCTTTTGAAATACTTCTAGCACGTCTAAATAACATCAATTTTATATTTCTTTCATAACTATTATTATGATTTTCATTACCATGTAACTTTGAAAGATTTGTATCTTTTTCAAATGTTAATTCTTTATCATTACTGAGCTCTTTTTTGTTTTTTGTAGAACTAATTTCTGATGTGAGAACAAGATCAGCAGGACATCTTGAGCTTAATTTTGTATTTATTTCATTATCTTCAAGTATAAGATATTCAGCTATGCTATCCTTATCTTTCCACGCGGAGTTTTTTTCAAATTTGTTTACTTTACATGAAAATTGTGGTTTATAATTTGAAATTTGATTATCAGTTGAAGTATCCTCAACATCTAATTTCAGAGTTAATTTTTTAACACTTTTTGCAGAGTATGAATCTATTATTTTTTTCTTCTTCAATATAGGAATAAGTTCTCTTTTCTTATTAACAGTTTGATTTCCATTACTAATTGCATTTTTACAAACTTTTATCCTAGTTTCTTTATCTTCTGTATCTGTATCTACCGATTCTGGTTCAGTTTCTGTATCTTCAATAATTTCTACTCTTTCAACAACTTGTGGCTTTAATCCTGCACAGACATTTGCACTTGGTAATATTACGTGATTTTCAGGAGATGCAATTGATTTTATTATTTCCATTTCTTTCACTTCTACAATACGAAAAGGATTCATCTGTGTGTTATAATTTAATGGTTTCGATTCTGTTGTAGTCAATGTATTGGAAGAAACTTGAGAAAATAATGTACTATTTTTGGACAAAAAAAATTCTTCATCGGCCATGTATACATCTGTATCAGGAGATAAAGAAGATAAATCGTCGTCAATATGAACAACTTGTGGTTGAGAAGTCTGAACAACATCGGGTATAGAGCTCATGTCTAATTTTCGTCTAACAGTTCTACTAACATCTACAATTTTAGCTTTTACTTTCTCAGATTTTGCGGAAGATTTCCGGCTTCGATGAACAATATCAACTGGTGAACTTTCAGGTGTACAAATAATATTACATTGACTTTCATCAAATGCGGGATTAAGATATCCTATGCCATATATTTCCTCATTCTCATCTATCAATTTATTTTCTTTTTTAGCTAGTTGCATCGAAGTTTGATCCTGTCTAGACAATTTAGTACGTCCATAATTGTCTCTCCCCTTTGTTTCTCCCATCTTACTTTTTATTAATAAACTGTCTGTGATTTTGTGGATCCATTCCTGTGAAAATATGATAGGTAACAGAAAATTCATGGACAGGCGACAGTTAATTGAAAGAGCATTATTAATAGTATGACAATATCAAGCATGGCCAAAATGAAAGTGACAATGCATTTCATTGTGCAAACAAAGCTTTTTCGTTGCGTGTATCCATCACCAGTACAAAAATTTTGGAGTACATTTCTGTTCATTTTTTATTCGTTGTTTTACAAATCATATTCAGACTTCTTCTATGTATAAAAATCTACATAAGGGGAGAGACAATATCATAAATGATTCATAAACAAATATTTTCCATCCACCAAAGTTTATATCTGCTTTTTATTAATAATGACAGTATTATTTACATAGATAGAGACACCTCTTGGACAAGATCAAAATGATCTATAAAACTTACTAATATAACTTATATAGTATAATGCCCAGACACACAATGAAGTGTTAAATATATGAAATATTAATCGAACTTAAATAATATATATAAATATATATAATCCATGTCTAAATTTTTAAAAGATTTAAAAAATTAGAAAATTTAAAAAATAAGATAAGAAAATAAATAAAATTATAAAAAAAATTTAATTAAAAAAAATGAAAAATAAAATTACTATAAATTAATAATTAATATGTTATTAGTTATAATATATTTTAAACTTCAAACATAAAACTTTGACGTATTGCATCAACAAATTGAAATTGAAACATTATTTTATAAAAATTTCATAATTATATCATTGAAATACTTATATCATTATTATATTGAAGAAATGAAATTTTTTCTCGATAAGATATACGTAATGGTACTATAAAGCACAAGCATTACATATACCAAATGTTAAGATAAAGAAGAAGCAATATAAGCAATGAGAAAACAAGCAATGGATGATATTTAAATTTATTATACAAATATTTATACGTACTTGAATTCTATTAGATATATCCTCCCATTTCTTACAAACATCTGAAACTTTCGGGTAATAAGTATAACGTTGTAGTTGATTGACTTTTGGTTTTGCTTCAATCATTTCGCTTTGAACAGCCTAAAAATTAACAAATTATTGAAAAAAATTTTAAAAATATGTATATGTAATTTTAATTATTATATTGCAATCTGAAATCATAGTTTACTTTGCATTGTTCAAAATGATTTTCCGTCAATTGATCAACTGGAACACTATCTAATTTATTTAGTTTTTCTTCAACTTGTAAAAGCCATGCTTTTATTTCATCAACATTAGGCTCTTCCTAAAAATATAAAAATTGAATCACTTCAAATATTTTAAATAGGCTTTATTATTAATATTAATCTTTTTATGTATAACAAATTTACCTCTGAAGCATTACATAATCTTAATCTCTTTTCAGTATTTGCTAATCTAATAACAATATCTGATAATTTTTCTTTAAGTTGTTCTAAATACATAGGATCGCAAAGTTTAGAAAATTCATCCTGTGAATTTAACAATTTATCTTTTACAACGTTTAATCGTGGTATTACTTCTGTCAAAGTTTCCTATTTAAACAATTTCACAATTATTTTTTTTTATAAAAAATCGTAAAATTTAAATTTACGATTATGTACTTAATCACATACTTACTCGTACATATATCGCATTAACTGGAAGATCAGGCATATTTTTTTGATTATCTAATTCTTTATTAATACTATCTATAGACATATTAATATAAGACATGTTTTTATACATATCGCGTGATAAATCCAGTGCTGTTTCCAAACATGCTTTTGATTCAGTTATATGTAAACCCAACTATAATAATGAAAAAATACAATTTTTACATAAATTTTTACATAGAAAATAATATTCTATTAAAAATATATATATTGATATTACGCGTATTACCTTATTATATAATTCTTTTAACATATCAATTCGTCGCGAAAATTTCTCTGGTTCAGTGACACTTTTTTCTTCAACTAATTTCCTACCAGTTATTATAATATTTTCTATCTCGCTTTTAATTTCACTTAACGTTTGATAAAAACGCTATAGAGAATAATAAATTATAGAATTTGAATCAAATATCAAATTTTTATCAAATATCAAATATATAATTAATATAATAGATAATTTATTACCAGACAATGTTTAAGTTGACCTTCAATAGCTTCTGGATCTTCTGATGACAGTTCTAATAAACAAGTTGCTTCTTCTATTCCTCTAAGCTCTCGTAAAGCTCTGGATAATCTTGGTTCTAAATTCGTTGGACATCGAAAACGTTGGAATTTTTGTTGAACTTCGGAAAATTTCTGTTCAATGAGAGTTAGTTGTTCTTGTAATCTGAGTGCTGCTTCTTGTTTTCCAGAAGCTTTGTAAGATTCAATTTGTAACGCCATTTCTTGAAGTGTAGATCGTTGATGTTCCATTTCTTCCATTAATTTCTAAAGTTTAATTTATACAATTAATATCAGAAAAAAATTTATATTTGCCTAATTTTTTCTCTTCTTTTCGTATTGTATTATATATTTCTTATTTTATATTTTTGCAAAATACACAAATAACTTTTCTATCATGCTTCTTGGAAGCAATGTTTTATATACAATGTTTATGAATGTATGAGCAAAAGATGAATTTTATATTTTTAGTAAACATATTATATTTACACTTTTGTATTAATTTGCAAATGAATCTCATATTTTTTTCAAGTAAATGTTCAGTAAATAAATAACAAAAATTTCACTAACAGACCTGATAATCATGAGGCAAATCATCAGCAGTAAGGTCGCAGTCAAGACGTGCTGTTAGTACAGAATCTATTTGTGTTAAGGAATGCTGAAGGGCAAGAATACGTCCTTCTGATTGTTGTGCTTGCTTCACTGATCCTTCCAGCAGCTTTGCTCGCTGCCCTGCCTACTCAAAATATAATTCTAATTTTCTGTGTAACTTAATAAAAATTGTGTAATATATATTATCAAATAATATGTATTCAATAACAAAATTTTCATATAAAAAATCATTTAAAATAATTTAAAAAGATATAGTATAAATATAAAAAAATTATTTGCCTAAAAATATTGAAAATTTTTTAAAATTTATCCGAATAATAATTATATATATAATTATATTTAAATAAACAAAAAAATTTATAATTCATACAAGCAACAGTAATATTTTCAAGCAGAATAAAAAACTAATCAATGAATATGTTTAAATAAATAAGTATAAACTTCTTTTACCAATGATGCATGCAGTTAAAAATAAATACAATTTTTTGTTATAAACAAAATCAATATTTCAAGCATAATTACATTACATGTAATGATCATCATACCTGATTATTTAAACTTTCCCAACGACTTGTTAAATTCTCTACATCCATTTGAATGGACTGAGTCATGATGTTACTTTCAATCAATTGTTTACCTATTTCTTGTATCTTTTCAAGTCTTAATTCTGGATGATTTCGTATATAATTTTCTAAATCCTTTTTAAGGTAAAAATTTATTACTTTTATAAAAATTATAAAAATTTACCCAATATTATAAATTACATTAAGTATACTTACATCAAGTTCTTCTGATATTTCTTCAGCATCTGCAGCTCTTTCTGTTGATCTTCTTAACCTTTTATCTAATTTATCCAACCAATCACTTTCTTGTGCAACTAAAGCACGGAATTCACCATATTCGTGGCTAGCATTTTGTAAATGTCTATATCGTTCATAAATACGATCTGTAACATCCGTCCAACGAGCATTTAAAAATGTAAATCGTCTACCAAGTTCTTGCACTGAAGATCCTTCAGAACTTAATAATTTATCATTGCCCATTTCATTGAGATTTCTAAATTCCTCTACTCGCTTATCTATCTTTTCTTTTAATGATTGATATCGGCCACGAACTTGAAACAGTTCAACAGAAGACGTTATTTTGGTTTCAATTGGTATTTCTTTTTCTAAAGTTGATAACCATTTTGTAAAATCTTCTATTCCATTTATTATTTCATCATTTTTTTTCAATGTATCTTCATACTTATCATTTAAACTTTTAGCACCGTCAACGATAGCATTCCACTTATGCGATACAACTTCTAATTTATTGTTTAACACATTTGCAAATTTTGGTTCAGAATTTTCAAGTAATTTATTTGTAGAAATTTGAAGTTTTTTCTATTTTTGGTTTCATTTCATTTATATCTTCACAAAAAGATTGAATCTGTTTTAATCTAAGTTCCATAATTTCAATATCATTTGAGACATTATCTTTTGATAATTCTTCTAAATATTGCCTTGATTTTTCAAGCCAATTTTCAAGCTCTGAAAGCTCGTTATTGAATATTTTTAAAGACTGAATATCTACGAAAAATTAACATATATTTTTAAAAAAAGAAAGAAATAAAATTTCATATAAAAATTAAAAAAATAACACACGCACGCACATATACATACATATATATATATATATACATACCTTTTTGCAAATTTTGTTGACGTTCTTCTAATATTATAGGTATATCGCTCCATTTAGTAATAAGATCTTGTAATGCATCTTTAAGTCTTTGACCCTGAGAATCTCCATTGGTCTTCATTATTAATTCATGTCCAACACTATTTACATAATTATAAACTTCTTGGTGTTCTTTCAAAGAATTTTGCAAATCGCTGAATTTTCGTAATTGTTCTGTCATCGTCTTATCATCTGACATTACTATATGTTCTGATAGTAACATACTTTCTACATTATTAATAAAAGAAGTGAGATTAGCAACTGCATCTGTATATTTCTTCGGCGGTGTTTTATCAACAGCATCATTTAATTCAGTTAATTTTTCAGATAATCTAAAATAGTATTAAGAAATTATTAAAATTATATAAAATTTTATATATGTATCAATATAAATACCGAAAAGTAGTTATTACGTTTTATACAATTTTTCCCAGTTACAAACAAACATTTGTATATCTTCATTTAAATTGATAGTTTCATTACTACCAAACAAATACATAGTTTGATTTTCTGGTAATTCTTTGGCTTTTTCTAACAATTTTTTTATACGCTCTTCATGAGATTTCATTGATTTTAATTTCACCTAAACAAAAATTATATTTAAATTAAGATTTTATTTAGAATTTTATTTAGATTTTTAAAAAAAAAGTATTTTTAAAAGTTATAAATTAACAAAACAATATTACTCTAAATGGTTCCACTTGATTGTTTCCTTTGTTTGAATCAAACCATTTAGAATAGCTATCTAACATTAAATTCAAACTAGCCAGTTCTGTTCGAAATTTTTTTACTTCTTCTAAATATTCTATACGATTTCTTATTTCTTCAAGTCGACTATTAGTTGCCATCCAACAATTCTGTATATCTTTAATTTTTGTTTCATCTGTTTCAATCGATTCATTAGCATTTTTTAATTCTTCAAGAAGCTGCTTCCCCAATTCTAAAACTTTGTCATAATCATTTTTGTGTGCTTCTATATCAGCAATTGTATCATTGTAAACAACTTTCTTTTCTTCGATGCTTAATTCGTCAAATACTCCCTCCGATCGTCCAATTTCTAAATCAACATAATCAAGCCATTTATACAAATTATGTAATGCCGATTCAAATTCATGTCTACTTGTATTATCTACGCGACGTTTCTTTGAATCACTGTGAGGCGTAGACTGAAAAGAAAAATAATATAAAAGATATTCACGTAATAAACATTTTATAAAATTTATAAAATTTTTCGCAAACATACAGTTGCAGTAATTTCTTCTTTATAAGCGATACTTGTTACTGTTTCAGACATCCATTCATTGCCCGTAACTACTGTTGTTTCCCTCTCAGTCTTCAGATCGAATTCAAATCCCGAATTTGTTATCTAATATTATATAAAAATAAAAAATATTTTTTGTATAAATAGAGAATAATATATGGAAAATGAATAAATTTTATACTTCTTCTAAATATATAAATATATAATTTTATATATAAATTTCATATGTTACCCTTTGTGTCTGCACTTCCATTATTTGTCCCACTGCTTCCCATCGATCTTGCAAATTTTCGATTTTTTCTAATATATTAATACATTCTGGTGAAGTATTTTGTCCTTCCAGTTCTTGAATTGATTCTTGTAAGGACATTAACTTTCTTTGATTTTCATCCATATCCATTTTTAATATTTGTAATTTTTTAATTCTTTCAAGCACTTCACCAATTTCGGAAGCAGGATTTGCTTCCATTTGTTTTAAAGTAATTTCAGTTTCATTCAACCATGACATTAATCTTTTATAGTCATCGTTAACATTTTGCCAAAGCGAAGAAAGAGCCTGCAAACGTTGCCTCCTTTCTTCTTTCCACTGACAAATGTGGGTCCATCGCTCTCCGAGAGCGGATAATTGATCTTCCATTTGCGCATAAACTGCTTCAGAATTTTCTTCATCCACAACAACTACCATATTTCTCATACCATCAACAACTCCCTGCTGTGCCTCAATATCTTGCTCTAATTCATTCAATTGTTTCAGTTGTTCATCTAAGGCAGACTGATTTAATTCAATAGCTGCCATTCGCGAAATTCTATCTTCAGTCCTTGTTAACCATTGTCGTAATGCATCTAACTGGCCTTGTTGCATTTGCATAAGGACCTATAGTAATTAAAAAATTATTTATTAATAATATATAAAATTAATATTATTGTCATTATACGCACCTCATGAATTTTAGTTTGTCTTTCCATTGCACGCATTCGAAGTCCTTCCCATCGAGAATTTAATAATGACATTTGAACGCGAACCTCGTGTTCTTCATCCTTATGTAAACCGCCTTCCGCTAATAATCTCGCACCTTCCTCCAATACAGCACCAACACCATCTTGATGACCGGACAATTCTACTAAAAATGATTCATGTTCGTGAAATTGTTGTTTTAACACTTCTAAAGTAGATCCAGGATCTGGAGCATGATTTAATTTATCTTCTGCCTCCAAAAGCCAAGTCAAAACTTCCTCGAGAGCGACTTGATAACCACCAAGTTCTACCGATACGTTTGTTGCAAGACTCATCGGTCGTGATGTTGGTGTTCCAAAATTTGTAAAAGATAATGTATTCTAAAAATATTTTTATTTTATAAATTTTCTTATAAATTATACGCATAATATAAAATCAAATTACCTCTGCTCCCGGAGTCGTAACCGGGCTGCTATCACTTGCTACTGATAGATCTAATTCGCCTATATCATCTCCAGAATGAGGTAATGATTGAAAAAGACACATAACGTACATCATTATTGATTTTTTATCCGGCACCGATGTATTCACATCTGTCATAAAATACAATATATAATTTTTAAATATTGCAATATAGAAAAAAAATTAATATCAGTTCGATTTTTTTTTTGTTTATATTACCTTCTGGATCCAACAAACGTTCAATGCCCAATTGTTCCTGAGCAATACGAAATGCATGATCTAGTCTAGCATTGGGATGTTTACGCGCTATGTTATTAAAATCAAATAAATGCGGTTTCCATTTATGAAGAATAGCATTGAATGCTAAACCATCTGACCAAGATGTAGTAAAGTTTTTAATATCAACTCCAGAATAATTCTAAAAACGACATAGATATCAAAATTTTATATGTTGTATAATTAAATATATTATAAAAGAGATATATTTTAAAAAAGATATTTTAATTCAATCGTATTTTCACCTGTGAATTTTGACGACACCATGCTAAAAGAGTTTTCTCTAAATTCGTCTGTTGTAGTTCTGTCATTAAATCTTTCAGATGATAATGTACCTAAGAAAGCATTTGATTTAATCTCAAACAAATGACGTATTAAAAGAAATCACATAAAATAACAAAAATGATAACATAATAAAAATATACTGATAACTTTTATTCCAGACAAATTAACCTACTTATAAAACTGACCTGCCAGTGTAGAATAATACTCCATACCAATCCAAGTGTTAGCTTAGGATTCCCATCAACTATATCATTACTGCTAATATTTACGAGTTTTACCTAGGAGAATGACAAGAAACATTAGCTTGCACTTTCTACTTCATTTACATTGTTTCCTAATTAAATATATTAGCAACTTACATTATTTTGTTCAAGAATTTGCAAAGCTTTATTGACATTATTCAAATGATGAACTCTCATTCGACCGCGTTCTCTTTTCTGTAAATAACAAATACATTATAAGATTAGATATATGTATTTTTTTTTTTTTTTTAAGAAAATCATCAAAAAGAATTACAAATAGTGCGATTTAAAGGAATATCTAAATAAAGCGATTCTTCCGAATGACTAAAGATATTCATGAAACAGCATAAATATGCGGAACGATGCATATTTTTCGCTCGGAATACTCTTACGCCTACTGTATATAGATAACTAGCAGTTTTATGTAAATATTCGTAATGCTCGATAGGCGCACCTGTTTGGAATTCTATTCGTAAAGCTTATAATGTAAACACGAGACGTGCTACTCCAAGAAGCATTTAAAAAAAAAAATAATTGTCAGCGGAATGTTTAAAAGATTACATCAGACGTAAAATAAAAATACCATGTATGTCTCGTAACAAGCTATCGCACCTATCCGTTTAGATTATGTAATCATTCACCTATACTGAAAATACTATACTTACATAGACTTTAGACGTGAGAACTTCCAACAGAGACAATAACCGATTGCCATCTCGTAAGTCAACGAACAAATCAGAAATCGGCTCGTGATGATTCTGCGATAAAGATTATTGTTTATTATTTATTACTTAATTATATTAATATATTCCTATACTTTTGTCTTATATTTAAAAACATGGCACGTACCTTAAGCAATTGCGAATTTATCCATTTTGCAAACGTTTTCTTTTGTACATCTTCCCGCTCATCTGCAACATATTTAATAATCATTATATTATAATCGAAAAATAATTGTTCTAAGTCAATTTAATCATAATTTATCATATTTATATCATAATTAAATTTGTACACAATGATATATCAATCTCAATAATTAAATAATACTCGAAACGATTGTACAATTACATTTTAAAGAGATTATATTTTAAGACAATTACATTTTAATCAAAAATATTAAATAATATTTCAAAGGAAAGCATATTATATAAAAATATTACGATAATATATATTATTAATGATAATATTATACGTAATGTATTAAATTCTCGAAACTATCTCGAGAAATTTGTGGAAAAGCAGATAATTCAAATCTCACGATTATTATGATTCGGCTGAAAAAAAAGAAGTGATTTAAATATTTTGTTCCTGAAACAAGAGCAGTGGTTTCATTGTCATTTCGACATTACCGCGAAATTATTGTCGACGTGGCAACGACGTCTCGTCATCTATCGCGTTGACACTCATTGACCCCGGTAGATGCAGCAGTAAACTCTTGAAATTTAGGTCGGCCAACAGAAAGTCATAAGCACGATGCTGATAAATACCTGGTTGGGTTCTGTACGACCAGCGATTTTTCAAGAGTCACGAGAATTTTATTTTATAGATATACACGTACAGGAAATTTGAATAACTAATCATCCCTTCAAAATTCAGAGACTTATGACAAATGTTTGTAAATTGTTCGAATGATTCATCGTACTTTGATTAAAACGGTCTTTCACTCGTTTCTCCGATATCTAAACAGAGTCCTTCAAAACCCGACGCAACCGCATACATTAGACGCATTTTTACCAGAAACCAGAATATTCAGATTCCGATCATATTGCTTTATACCGGCCTATGCTATAAATTCTTACTCGAACAATATCCTATATCCTTCACAAATCTCCTAGATCATCTATTTCCATTTCAAGTTATCGCCATTCGTCATTGCCTTCGATCGCATATCCTCGTCCAGAGAATGCTCGAATTATTGCCAAGTGAAGCGTCTCGACATCATTAAGTCCATCAACATCGCGAGTACGGTATTAATCATTTAGGAGTTTATCAAAGTCCCTGGCGTTAATCGATCCAGAAAGCTATGCATTTTTCGTCCTACATTTGAGAGAACAAATAAATCGAAAAGAAACACGCAACAAACACGCGGACGTCACTGGCCAGCGATGAATGAATGAATGAACGGTCGTACTTATCTTACATTCGAAGGCATACAAGATAATGAAAAGAACTGAAGGGAAGCCGAGGGGGATATTATAAATCGCGAATGGCGATCACGTAGCCGAAGCAAAGTATGCCGTAAGATACGAGAGCGTGCGTCTTTCCTGGCCTGGCATCGGCCAACGTGGAGAGCCTTTCCTTACGAAACCGTGCCGCTTCCGAATATGGTGCATCCAGTTCTTTTGCACCGTCATACGATCCACCAGTTTTCTTTACGCGATGATCGTGCCTCGTTCCTCTGAATCGCCGCCGTTTTCTGTTAGAAAAATTCAATCGCAGCATCGCGTAATCATCGCGCCACTTCCTGCGCGCTCTCGATAGGCCATCCTACGCGATCGGGAGTAACGACCATTAGAAGGATTGTTCGATGGCGATACGCGTTAGCCACTAATAGGATGGTATTTACTCGTTAACTTGGGAGGATGAGTTAACTTGTTGTTTAAAAATATCTTCTCACTTGGAAACTCGACTTACAACGGGTGATGATGATTCACGGATAGAAATCGGTTAGAGCCCGGTTGCGAAGAATTTCTATCGTTTCTGGAAGTTTTGTTTAAACTGTACAATGCTAACAAAGATTATCTATCGATTGAATGTTTATAGAATATATGTATCTATATATTTTCCTATTTCAATACTTTAAATCAGGATTTAGAATTCATTCATATACAATTACAAATTTCTTATGAATTTTAAAAGGGTATTTCTTGTGTACAATTCGAATGAATTTTTAATCACTGTTGACAAGAAGATATATGACGACAAGCTTGAGAGTTGATTGCACAGAGATGAATATAACGGAATTTCAGAGCCGAGGTCACTCAGTTTTCGTAGTATCAAACACGAATCTTAACATTGTCGCGAATATTTATTGTCGTTCTAATCTTAATCGATTATTTCCTTGTCGGATCAAATTGATATTAAAAACATAGTTAAAATGCAATTCTTCTACTTAAATACTGCATCTAATAATGAGATAACTTGCTCAAATCGCAAAATTGATTGTCGATGAATATAAATCAAATTTTTGTAGAATATTATTTGAAAAAGATAGCGAAATCGTCCTAATTCATGTCAGATGGAAACTACATAAAGAGAAATATTGTAAGCAAATACAGAATTATTTATGACTCGACATTTCGCACAATATAATTCCGTATATATCACTGTAACAGTAAAATGCAGAAAATCGATCAATAATATACATCTGACCCATGGAACCGTTATGTCAAATCATTCTTAAACCTATTGATTTTTGAACTGTCGCAATCTATATATTATCAATCTATATCGGAACGAATGTATCGAAGTTACAAGAAACGAAACAGCTGTATTCACATGTCGTACAAACTATCTGTAACAAAATTCCCTTAACGTCTTCTGGAACCCAAAGCTGGATTCAAGTGTTTATACGCAAATGCACATCTGCTGGTTCACTTTCAAAGCAACTAATGTAAACAGCGGTGGTCAAGTATAAAATACGCGAGAAAATATTGCATACGCCGTTATATTAAATGAAATATAATAATATCTTATACATCAATATATAAAATTAATCATAGCTTTTGATAATAAATGCTGAAACTTCATTATCGAAAAATGGAATAAAATTATAGAACATATAAATATATCGTTAATTTTTAGATGGATTTGTGTCTACATGAACGAATATTTGATTTGATTTAATAAAAATTTCGATATTCTTGCTCGAATGATTTTTGAACTTTCAACAATTGCCACGATCTACCCTTTCGCGATTACAAGGGTTGAACGAACCGCAAGTTCGAAGCGCGTAATGCTGTTAACGCCTCGATAATACATCGCCGAGAAAACAGTGCCAGCCATCTGAAACCACCGCTAAACTTAGCTAAATGCGCGCTAACACGCGCTCTCTTCTCCACTATAAGCACATTCATTAGAGTAAATCAACGAAACAAATATTTCACGAGTAATGTCGTTGCACTGACACCTATCGTGGCAGACTTTCTAAAAAGAAACCTTGGATTTTTTATCGTTTACGTTTTATCGTTTACAAAAGCGCTTATGAGTCATTTTTTCCATGAATCAAACAAGAATGATTATATCTTATTTCTTTGTATTAACTCATCTATATAACCGTGTGATATATTTCGTTCCAAAGCCTGATTCTCTAATTTTATATTATATAGTATAATTAAAAGAAAAAGAGAAAGAAAAAATAAGATATAAATGAGATATAAATAGATATAGAAATATCTATATTTACAATCATAGTAATCTTTTGATTATATCAGTAACCATTACGCCATCGATAGTGCACTAGGTTTGCAATATCGCTGTCACAGCACGATCTCGAGTATCAGTTACCTCAAGGACGTAGCATTTTTTGCGAGTCAACTACCACTCGCAAGAGAAATGCTCTCCATACAGGTATCTTTATATTCAAGCTCGAATCTCCTGGAGAATTATACGTATCGAGATCGAGTCATGATTCTATGTCGAGCGGGAGCTCTTACGCATCATTCTTGAATGCGCCAACTGCCTCGGCAAAGTCGGAATTAACGATCTTGAACCTGATTCTCTCCCTTCTTTCTTCTTCGAACGTTCGCCTTACTTTGTCCCTTATTCTTTCTCTTTCTTTTTTGCTAAGATCGTTAAGCATCGAAAAAGCCTCTGAACAAGATGCTCAAAACCACTCGATATCGCCTCTTCATTAAAAAGATGCAAATATCGAGAAAATGAAGAGAGGAAGATCCGAAAAATGTAATAAAGACCTAACCGTACAGAAAGAGGTTGCGCGTCGTCGTTTTACGATAAATTACCTTAATTTTGTCGTAAACACTCTGGCGGTCGAGGAACTCTTAATTCTTTGCGCAAGACAGAAAATTGGTCTATAAATATCCTTAACTTAAAACAGTAGCTACGATTAATGTTTGTAATTTCATAGTAGAACTTGAGAACAGTCGTAACAAGTCACAACTTCGTGTTTATTTTCTTCGCTAATTATGAAGATATATCAATCGATGTTTCTATTCTTTTACTATCACACTGCATCTAAAAAATAAAAAATAATATCAGGGAAATAATATTTTATACTTAGAAAAAAGTGGTGAGAATTAACTATGTATAAATAACTATAACCACAAAAAGGCGGGAAAACTGTATCTAGGCCAACAATATATTCATTCAAACGCACTTTGCGTGTCAATTCTTTGTGATCGTACTAACGGTTTAAAAGTCGCAAAGCTTTTAAACGCTTTTCGACTATAAACTATTCAGTGTCGCCTTTTTATTGATCGACATTAGGCTGAAAGCAAGTAGAGCACTATGTGCACTTTGCAAACAAGCTAACTGCCTAGGATAGCTGTCAATGTAGAGAATAATGGTTTAAACGAGATGACAATGAAACGAGAACTACCAACCACGAAGATTGCATCTTCTCTGGCGCGTATACTTGGAACGCGTGTCGTTGGCCCTAAACGCACCATCATCTGAAGTTCACAGGTCAAATGAATTGATGAGACCGCGTAATATTCACACTAGCATCCTAGTATTTGATGTGTTCAATTCAACGTATATTTTCAGTCATCTCTCAATATAATTGACGTAAAAATATACTTTTCTTCTGTTCTTTATTGAATTCAGCATGTAAATATGTAATTCAGCATGTACCTATGAATGAAACATTTTATGTTATATATATAAAATTAAACAATGTCGCTTGATTTTTTAACGAAATAACGAAAATAATTTTTATTATATTGTTTATACT